CTATGATTAAGATAGTTGAAGGAGACTGCGCTGGCGGATTTGTAGTGCGTAGAAGGACTAGGTGTGAATTGAATACGCATTCATCAATGTGTAGAGTGGCATTGGAAAGGCTGTATATTCTCAGCTCTGATTCTCGTAAAGTTTTAACGACTGGTGGTTCTTCTAGTCGGTGTTAATGAATCATTGCAAACAATTAAAGTGGTTACAATTCCTGCGTCTAATGCTCTTCAAAGGGCGCGTGTGGCGCAGTGGTTGGAGCTGCCCCGCGGCACACACGTGGAATCGATCCCCACGCCCAAAGCTCACCAAGTCCATCGCTCCGGCTCGACAAATTGGTACCAGACTTGTCTGGGAGGAGAGCTACACTGGCTCGATACATCGGTAGGCCACCGCAAGTCATGGTAAAGGACGGATATGCACTCAACCACCTCCAGCGATGCTTAATGAAGTCGAATGCATGGCACATCCCTCAGAGATTAATCAGCGCCGAAAGCTTTATCCTTTCATCCTTTAATGCTTTTCTGCTCCACACTATTTGCCGAAGTTTACAAATTGTGGTGTTTTACAGAATTCTTGTAACAGCCGATACATCATCTTCATTTTTTTTCTTTTTTTTTTGATAATGGAGTTTCTTTTAGGACACGGACACCCGATATCAGAAGAGCTGTTCTCTAACCACAAAACAATACCAGAACAGCTGTTTCTGAACTGCGGAAGTCTCATCAAATTACAAGTTATGATCCTACACTAAATAAAAGAACAAGAAGTCCGACATGTGTAAATAACATTATGAAATATGAGTTCCTTATGTTTTGCTGTCATTTCTATCTCTTACCCATCATTTCAGCTCACGCGACATTCAATCAGTTTTCCGCTTTTTCGTTTTTCGTATTTAGTGTCCTTGTCAGAAGAAGACTAATATCATTAACTACTAACTGCGTCAAGGAGCCATTTTATAAAAATGTTGTTAGAGGACTTATTTCCAGATTAAGCAGGGCCGCAAAAATCAATGTAGGATTGGGAACTATGGTATAAAAGATAGAGATGAGTAACTAAATCTTCCTTCTGCACTTTTCTCGAAGGAATTCTCCTTCATGGAACTTTTTTCCAGAGAATATGAAATTGGCTACATAACATGGGCGGCCACTTATTGACACCGTTCTTGCAGAGATTGATCACATGTAGAAGTTGGTGACCTTTTGAAATTTACGTGGTGCCATCATTTTGCATTGCGTCGATCACCGGCTTCGTGTTTTGCTGATCGGATTCGGCAGTAAACTAAAGAAAATTTTTCTTGCCCAGGAGAAAAAGGCCAGTCCATTGTGACGAAACCATTAATGATAAAATTCTTTCCTCACATGGATGGCAAATCAATTAAGATCGGCCGAAGACTACAAGTTGCCTGTCTAAAGACTTCAAACTAACGCCAGATTCGTATATAATGCTGAGATATTTGCAAAACTCCGGACCGCAGGTGTATGCGGTGGGGAACGAACGCGCTATTGTCCTTTCCGGGGAGTAGCGCACTTCACCACCACACCATCCGGGTCCCTCGTTTTGCCTGTCTCTCAGCTAGTTCTATTGATCTTTTGCCATCAGCAATCACCCGTCAACGGGATTGATCTGAAGAGCGCAAATCGGCATTGAACCCAGTTAAGCTGAGGATTAGTTATAATCATATATACAAGTTATATTTCACAACATACCCTGCAATTAAAAAGAAAAAGGCAATAGATAAAAGGGTTAAAGGTGATTGTAATTGTGATTGTAAAAGCGCCTGTGCCACAAATCAAGCACATGGAAAGTAACGGTTGATAGAAGGGAATTTCCAGCAATAAAAGAAAGCGAAAATATCTAAGCTGCTTTCATTTTACCGTATGAAAGCTAACGAGAAGGAACTACCGCTGAAGGTACCTAAATTAGTGAGATTGCATTTCTCGGCTTGGATAAATGCTCTTTTAGAAGGTACAGTTGAAAACTTTGATGGATTAGCGTTTGATCTCAGACCAAACTTTCCTCGTGCTTTATGTAAACAAAGTTTTACACGGCACTAACATTTTTTGCTGAGTTCTAGCACATAGTTCTTGCTCAGTGTTACTTTTTTGCTGTTTGCGAAGACTATCGCAGTAAGCGTTGCCGGATCTACTATGGTAGCCTTGATTTTGAGTTAACATCCGGATGGAAATGTAAGCCCATCAGCACTAGAGACGCTGCTAAGGATATAGGTACACGTTGCAGGTGGAAAACAAAGAACCTCCCCCCCCCGCCCACTTAGGATGAGTTGGTAAACCGGGTGTGAAATATAAGGCCATAGGAGCCCCGATATTCAATCAATTCATTGTGGGTGTGCTTTGCATTCGACATTGTTTGGAATCGTGGAGGTGATTAACGTATTTGACATATACAGTGACTTAAGGTGGGTGCTAATGTGCACAGCTAGTGTTTTCCACGCTACATGACATGTCTGCTGATTTCGATAGGATGAAAGTGGTGTGTTAATCCTAGCTATTAACTAACTTCTGTAGTAAATCACCTCTAAGCAGTGCGCTGCACATGTCCTTAAGATTTAAACTGTTAGTAATAAATAATAAATTCTATGGCGCTGTTTAGCACTAATTCGTCGTGTTCGTTGTCAGTTGCAAACGAAAGGGCGTGTTGCTTAGTGCTTAGAGGTGGTGCATTGCAATACACACGTAACCGTTGTTTCGAGGCCGTTTCCAAGATTTTCAGCAAGTCCTCCATGTTCTCATGATCTGGAAATTGACATAGATCTGTCTGGGAAGATAGCAGTAGTTATGACCTCATAGATCGTAGGCCACCGTAAGTCATTTTAATGGGCAGATGTGCATTCAGTTACCTCAATCAACTCTTGTCGATATCGAGTGCATGGCGCATCGGTCAGAAATTGATCAAAACCGGAAACTTTGTCCTTCAGCCTTAATTTGTCAGCTCTCCGAAACAATAAGTCCGAATTTGTGCGGAGTTTTGGCAACTAGTCGATGGACAGGTCATTGCGTTGACGTTCACATGTCACCAGCTGACCAAGTATTCGAAGGTGAGAGAACTTGATCTTCTGGTTGGCAGCAGTTGGTCAAACCGTCGACAGTGGGCTTAAAAGAGTACCATTCATTCATCCTAAACAAAAAGTCTGTGCACTATGCTACACGAAACCTGTTAACAAATTTCCCTAGTTTTTATCTTTGCTTTGTCGTTGTTCTGGTTTGATTGGATTGCTGGAAGGTCGTGGAAGATGAGAAGATATTTCTAAAGTAACAGTTTAATAACGAATTTTAGCTATCTTTTTAACTTTGAGACTCTTGAACCGAAACGATTAAACGTCGGATATTCATTGAAAGTCTCTGGACTGTTTATTTAACAAGAATTCATTGAGTTGGTATATATGGAGCACTCCGGTTATTGTGACCTCGAGTTCTCACTAAGAAGCAGTCTTAAGAAACCATTACTCATCATTGCTCATCTGAATTCAATGACATTGGTCAACATCTGTGAGGAAACAATCCGAAGAATACGTCACTTGCACACTCCGGATCCATGGCAAATGACCTCCATATATTTGATAGATTACCGGTCTCTTAGAGTACTCCAACGATCAACTTTCTATTCTCAAATTTTATGGTTTACTACTTCCTCTTTCGGAGCATTTGAAGCTCACTGCAACAATTTGATGCCCTATTTCGTTCACATGGTCAATTGACCAGGCATAGCTGGCCAATCAGTTCTTCTGTTCCTCTTTTGAGCTGGTGTAGGGACTTTTTACATAAAAATGAAAGAAATATCTTCATATTTGTTACATCTGAACTTCCTAGCAACCAACATCTTGTCGAATTTGCTCTAATACGGTCGTCTTCCTGTTATACCGATAAACCTTGTTACCGGTGTCCATCACCCTCACTTTGCGCTATTTCTAACCCTAACTTTTTGAACCTCAACTCCACGACTGTTTTACTCTTTTAATAAGAGTTCTCGATAATTGGAGATGAAAAGACTCTTACATTCTCCATGGGTAGGTTTGAGGTTGTCACAACAATTTTTTTTTTTTACTTTGCAATACTTGACGTTGTGGAGTTCGGGCAGATTATGCAACATGCATATTGCTCCACCAAAAGTATAAGACCCAAACAAGTCCTGTCTTGATCAGCTCGTTTAGAGTTCCGCGAAATACACACCGTTTCAGTAGTTGTTTTTGCAGTGCAGATGAATTATAACTTCCACACATGGGTTAACAAATGCATGCCACTCCATTTGGGAACATTAATTTGAGTTACGAAGACATCTCGAGTGTGGCACTAACGTGTAACACTTGGCTAGCTTGAAGTATTTGAATTCGAGCCTTTTTTGAAGTGTAAAGTTACGACAGAAACAAGGAGCCCGCAGACATCAGTGTTCAAAACATCAGCGAGGCTTCAAATAACCCAAGGCCAAAAATGAAACCCAGCTAAGAGTAAATCTTTGCGAGGAATCGCAGCCATCTTAGAGGAATCTTATTGGCAAATACATCAAACCTTCGACCGATCGACAAAACAGTGACTGTCGCTAGTAAAAAAAAAAAAGAACGCCTTGATAAAGCAGTCTAAGCGACTCAGGAAAACCCATGCTCATGCAGGGTCAGTTGAAATGAGGTTGTGCTAATGAGCGGGTAATTTGTGAAGACAAGCTGTCCTAATGTCTATGTTTACATATTGGTGAGAGATTCTCTGTGTTTTATGCGCAGTATTTTCGCCAATTTTGTTTACTATTTTTAAGTGTTAAGGCATACTAGCTTCTTCGCACGAAAAGCCAGTCAGTCATAAAATCGCTCTGTGCCTGGACTAATTGTTGTTGTTTTTCTTTCGTGAAAATCTAACTCGTACCGTAAAAATTGCCTATGTTTGCTTCGCAGTGAGTTGTTCTCTCACTAGAGTGGCGTTACATCTGTGATATGACTACATCTCTCTCTCAAGTAGTAAATGCATGGTTTGTAGGCGTGTAGAGCATGGAAAATGATGCACTCGTTCTTCATCTGCTCGACGACAATCGTGTTCTGCGTTTACGCGTCGTATGATGAACGTCGGCTTTATGAGGATCTACTGCGTGGCTACAACAATCTTGAAAGGCCTGTCGCCAATCATTCGAAACCTGTTACCGTCTACCTCAAAGTTAGTAGCTCATTGGTTTGCTTCTCAGAACGCTTTCATGCCATTTAATAGTTCCTGGGTGGCATCAGCGAAATTATTTTCTCTATAAGACAGTTGGAAAGAAAACAGTGAAGACCATAAGAAAGGTCAAGATCATGTTAAAGCGGTCATTACGGTCACTAAAGGAACTAGAAGTAGATCGCAGCATTCGTGATGTGGTGAAATGAAACGAAAGGGGACTCTTAATATGGCATTTGTCTTATTAAAGGCTGAAACTTTGTCGGGTTTCTCATTCTTCAGATCATGCCAATGGTCATGTTAACATGAAACTTGCGCTTTCATAGCCCCAACCTCAAGATCAAAACCTTGCACCTCACTTTCATGTTGAACAGCTCTGTTAATATTAACATCTATGACTAGTCTACATTTGAGGAACTAAAATGACCAGTACAGATTTAACATCAGATGAGCGCTGCGCGCTCTCAGGGGAAATTTTCGCCTGAGATAATAAGCTGCGTGGAATAAAGTTAAGATAATAAGGGCTTCCCTGTGAGGATCTAATCCTAACCGGACAGGTTCTCCTTCTATATTGACAGGAAGCGCTATGGTAGCTACTTTCTTGTAGTCCAAAACACCGGCATTAACCAATTAGCTCTTAAATTTTTAGAAAGACAGTAGTAGAGCACTCAGTCAAAATGGCGAAAATCGGCACTACCACTATGAGACAAATATTGATATCTAAAGGACATCTTTAAAATTATAACCGGGAAACTTCTCCCAGCTGTTCACCGCCTCATTGTGGCTGGGTGTCGGATTGCGATGTACAGCGGGGGGATTCATCGCATGGAAGGGTCTACCATGCTGAGAAGGAGTCCAACGTTTCCATCACGAAGCCTAGCTAAGAGTAAACCAATACCAGAATCCACCACCGTCCTGGTATAAAAGTCGCATGGTGGTAAATCTCCCTCTGATCCGCAAGGGTTGCTACTGCCCGTGGTGGTGAAGACCTGGGGCGAACTTTGGCCAGGCTGACCTCGCGATTCCAGGGAACCATAATGGCTTAACCAGCAAATCTCCGAAAAATGGAGATCATGTTGGAACCCGCACAACCAGTGAGGACGGGCCATTCAAGTCTTAACTATCAAGTTACTGGGAAACTAAACTGAATACCGTTAAAAAAAACTAAACAAAACATAAACGAAATAAGCTGAATGCCATCGTAGGCAGAATATTTGCCTCTTTAGGTATCTCTTCAACAAATCATCGATGTTGACGAAAAGAATCAGGTCGTTTACGTGAACGCATGGCTGGACTATGTGAGTTATCAACTTACAATTGGATTTATGCACCGATATGGTTCACGTGCGAGAAGACGGCCCAACTTAGGTATAAGCGGATGAAACCACCGCAGATGGTGGAACAGCAGTTTTGATAGCAATGCTCACAATGTCCCCACACAATTCGCTAAACACTTGAACAACTATGGGATATGGAAAAGGCAAATTTTTTGAGAAGCAAGAATAAGAGTAAAACGATTGTCTGCTTCTCCTTTGAACACTGAACTACTGAGTGCGACTTTTTTCGTTTCCAAAGTTTTGCACAAATGAGATATTGTTTGCCAATGAAATACTTCTCGTTATCGTTCAGTCTTGTTGAACACGAGTGAGAATAGGAAAGAAGAATAAACTCCAATGAAACTTAAATTTTAGGTGTGGAATGATTATAAACTTGTCTGGGACATCAGTGAATACGGCAACATCACGGACGTCCGATTCCCTGCTGGCCGGATTTGGAAGCCTGATGTGTTGCTCTATAACAGGTAGCGAAAGATTTCTAAGGAATTTCATGGTTAGCGTAGTGGGAAAATCTGCTATGTAATATATGCGTTCTCTTCGGTTCCACCCCACGCCCAGGCAAACGAAGCCCTCCATCTTTCTGGGATTGCAAAATTAGGAACATACCTATCTAGGAAAGTGAAAACCAGATTTTGACAAGATATGCACCCAGCTTTGTGGTGCACCTATTAGAGCCCAATTCATAGCGTGTCCTTAAGAGGTGAATCAAATCAGAACGGTTTTTCCTTATATCCCCAGATCTTATATCTGTTTGAATGCTTGATTACGTTATTCGTGGGAATTGATATACGTTTATTTGGAAGGTACGTAGACCAATCGAAAGCGAATGCAAAGTAAAGTAAATGCAATGCTCTTATCTGGAATGCATTCGGTTGTTCAAAAATGTCGGATTCCGATTTTAGATTTTACTGCATATGTCTTTACAACCACGGACGTTCCTATTTGAGGGATCTCATGCCGGTTGTCGCGAGGCAACGTGGCACTCTTCCAGTGGAGGAATAGGTTATTAATGGCGGACCAAAAGCGACCTTTGCTTTCCTAAACGCATGTGGATCCAGGGAATGAACTTCTTGCTTTTGCTGTACCTATTCAGCACAATTTTGGAGATATCCGAGGTAAGGCGTTTCCACGTGTAATGGGGGAGAGCGTGGAGGAGCGCACCAAACCCACACCTTGCTTTGTGATGTACTTCATTACTACTCAATGGGCTATCTCCCTGACCTCGAATCAGAATTTCAAGTGTGAAAACAACAACTTCAAAAAATGTTTCTCAACCGATACCAAGTCAAAAGTATGCAGTGATTCATCGAAATATTAAAGAGCTATGAGGCCAATGAAGTCTTAACGGTGAAAGATGCAATGTTAATCTCAAAAATATAGTCCTGGCCAATTCGATCTTGAAGATCAGAAGACTTGCAGAAGTTCTGCTATGCATGACGACGAGAGTGTCAGTGGAAGCAAATGAACGCACACCTGTTAAAGATGCTGTATACGAGTTCACTGTAAACGCATAAACTGTTTCGGGCATCTAAAGAAGGTATGAAAGACGACGTGGCTGGATAAATGGATGCCGTACAAATTTAATGAAAATCTAGAAAGTTTTCATTTTTAAGTAACCTCGGCGCTATTTTTGCATAACACTCATTTCTGGATCGATTGTGAAGGATGATGAGGAAGAAATCATCTACGAGAGCAGGCGACGAACAGTTCAGTGGTAGAAACGCGGTGAAGCTCCGCAGCCCTTTCCCAAGCCAAAATTCCACCAATACAAGGTCGTGCTGGGCACTTGACAGTTTGCTTAAACCGTCACAGCTTCTTGATTTCGGCTGAAACCGTTCCGATGAATGGTACACCCGGAAAATCGCCGAAATGCGCCAGAAACTTCAACGCCTTCGCTAAACATTGGTAAACACATCGGGGGCAGTCCAGTTAGTAGCACAAAATTCTACAAAGCTTAGCTCACTACACTGCACCTATCTTTAGCTCTCCTGCCACTGCATCGTCAAGTTTCCGAAGTTTTAATTTATTGGCAAATATGGCTATGAGACTTTTAATTACAAAACGAAGGGATTAAGCAAATAGTGCAAAATGTCAGACGTTGAGTCACACTAACATTCTCTAGCACACTCACGCTGAACCTAAGGCGCTTAAGTGACTGATTGCTCTGTACTTGATTTTCAGAAAGCGGTGATCAACTATTCGTATGAGATGCATCAGCCACTAGTATACTTTGCAATTCGCATGTATCATCTGTAGTAGATGAAGGATAAAGCTATAGGCGTTGTTCAGTCCCTGAGGGATGCATCGTGAATTAGGCTTCATCAAGCATTCTAGAGGTGGTAGAATGTACAACTGGCTTGTGCAATGACATGTGGTGGCCTCCGAGGCATCAAGCCTGTGTCTTAATCGTTCCAGACAATCTGGCCCCAATTTGCCTATTCCATATGCTGGTAGTATATTGTGAGTGCAGGGTGACAGATCGAGCCAACGACAATATGTATTGCAGAACATCGCTAATCGTTGAGCTAAATGCGACTGTATGATATGCAATCACGCTAATCAGTGAGTAATTCAATGGGCACAAGTAAAGCCTGCATTCACCCATATTGCACTATTCAGTGGGGTTCGCTTCTTCAAGTACTACAAAGAGGATCACACTGTATTGCTATGAGTACCTCCACTGTTCGTAATGAGAATGTGTCCACAAGTAGCTCCTAGAGCTCTGCTTTCCTGTATATTTATTCTCAGGAGATTTAAAGTGAAGACTTCCTACTTTTTTATCTCGATGACCTTTCTCATACGATGAAATGTCTCTACTTTATATTTAATCTCGACATCTAAGAATATTTCGCAGGTAAGATCAGCGCCCTTCTCTCAAAGCGACTCAATATCCTTTTTTTGTAGTCACATTTTTGATGAAAGCCTATAAAAAAAAGAAAGTTTTCCTTTGTAGATAAATTGCACTACAGCACATTCCTTGCATGTTTATTAGTCAAAACTTCTGCCCAAACGCTTTGACAGTCGTAACATTGCGCTGGGACTACAGCCGTCACCTAAGAATTACTTTCTTTCCAGTGTTGACACCAACTTTGACTCGACATATCCTACGAACATGGTAGTCTATAACACTGGTGATGTTCATTGGGTGCCTCCGGGAATTTTCAAGATCTCATGCAAAATCGACATCGAGTGGTTTCCCTTTGATGAGCAGCGTTGCAAGTTCAAGGTATATGATCTTTAGAAAGAGCAGCTCTTATTCATTAGCCTCGTTTAGGACAATTTTCAAGTTCTTATTAGGGGTTCAACAGTGGCGTTACAACTGATTTCGCGATAATATTCAAAAACTGGAGTTTTTCCAAAAGTTGGCTCTTAGCCCTATGTGAATAACGCTAGCATGTTCCCATAAAGTTTTCCCACTTTTTTGTTTTCTTCAGGACAACTAGGAGTCAATTAATATGTCGATAGCATATATTTAAAGTAATAAATGCAGACGACAAATATAAGAACACTGCGTGCTTCGGAGTAGGAGAGCAAAGGTCAGGGTAGGACCAAGTGTTAACGATAGTGACCACTGCTCTCAATCACCAGGCAGATTTTTTTTCCGGCTTCTATTAACAGGAGGTAGTCTTAGAACGCTATAAAATCTAGATTTTCCTAGGCTTTTGCGAAATCAAAGTTACTTTTCGCTTCTTTCGAGAATTGCTCTATGAAAAAAGTGTGCTAACGTGTCGATATTAACTAACAGTTTTTCTTGTTTTCTTGTTTTGTGCTTACAAGGAACTATGTAGAATTCATCAACCATCGGATTTTTGCAGTTTGGATCGTGGACATACGACGGATTCAAATTGGATTTGCAGCCGGCCAAAAAAGGATTCGACATTTCCGAGTACCTTCCCAATGGAGAGTGGGCGTTGCCGTGTAAGCATGAAGAGGAGAACTATTTCATGAGAAGAGAAAGAATCGCTTCTTTAAGTGACTACTGTATCCAGAAATGAGAAGTTCTATGACTGTTGTCCAGAGCCGTATCCGGATTTAACGTTCTACATTCACATGCGGAGACGAACACTGTATTACGGTAATTTGTGATTAAATGCTGAAGCTGTTGATCTCTAAAGTGTGTAACACTGCTTCGGTTCAGGATTCAATCTCATAATGCCATGTATACTTACTACGCTTATGACTCTACTGGGTTTCACACTACCTCCAGACGCGGGAGAAAAAATAACATTGCGTGAGGCTTTTACATGCAAATACTAATACGCTATATTATATATATATATATATATATATGTGATATTATAACATTGCAACACAGTTGTATAGTTTAACATATATTAGTATTATAATGTTAAACTAATATAATTCCGCAAAATTCCCATATGGCAAAGGCGCGTTTGGCGCAATGGTCGGAGGCGCACAGCAACACACACGTGGAAACGGTTCCCACGCCCAAAGCCCACCATACTTACCACCCCTCCAGGGTCGGCGAATTGCTATCAGACTTCTCTGGGAGGATAGCAGCACTGGTTCGATGCATCGGTACACTACTGCGATAAAGATCAGGTATGCATGCAAACACTCCAAACGATGCTTAGTGAAGTCGAATGCATGGCGCATCCCTCAACGATTGACCAACGCCGAGAGCTATTTATTATCCCATATGGCACTAGTATCGCATGTTATGTGCGCAGTACACACTGACCGACGTGTACAACAACAGTCGTTTTCCTCTACTGTGATTATCTTCACACGAATTTGTCATTGTGGTAACAATGCACATTGATTGTTCCTTCTTCATTCCAAATGGACAATCGGCGTAATGCGCTTTCATTCCGAAAAAAAAGTGGCTGTTATTTCTAAATATCCACAGGTTCGCTCTTTGGAAATATCGCCCGCAATGCACTTTTATTCAACGCTCCAAAAACTATCACAACATTTGAAACGACAAATTTTTACAGCTACCAACAAAAAGGATGAAGCTCTCAGAGTCGATCAATCCCTGAGTGATGTGCCATGTATTGAACTTCATCAAGCATTACTGGAGACGATTAACTGTATTTTTGGCCTGTAGAGTGACTTGTCGTGGTCGGGCGATGGATCAGTCAGTATTTTTACTCTCCTTACCTCCTTAACAAGTGTGGCACCAATATGCCGACCCTTGAGGTATGGAACGCTTAGTAGCGTCGAGGAGCGTTATCAAATCAACGACCACTAGTGCATTGAAAGACAATCCTAGCCACCACTCTACCTATGCAACAATAGTGTTGGTTAATCTGGTAATTAAACAGCTGTCATTACATCAAGGGAGTAAAGCTAGTCTTGTAGCAATGCGCATCTCGGAAATTTGTTATGTCCAGATATCTGGTTCACGCTGAAACTCGACTGCTCGCAATACAACGAAATTTTCGCACGTTTCTTTTTGCGAGAGAAAACAAGTGAGCTCCCAGATTGTAGATGTCAGACATTAATCTTTAGATGTAGAAGAAAATGAAAGGTACGGCCTGCAGAACGCACTGTCTGATTACCATTGTGCACCATACGACATTTTATAACACCGGCTTTGAAAGAACGACTTGGACGCATTATCGAAGTCGTCGACAACCAGCGTGGATGCGTCAAGAAGCGTGCACCTAATACATGGAATATCTTCTCAGTGAGAACCACCGAAAGGAGAGAACATTCGTCCACATAGCTCCCAAGATCGACTTTCTATTAACCTCGGCACTGGGTTATAAATGCGTCGTTTTCCTTCTCAGTTGTTATACAGAATACCTTCACTTCCGTACAAAAACACATGCAGTGCAACAGTAGCTGACGTTTCGGCAGTATCGTCTTTTCTGAGCCTGGAAGGGTATATCAATACGCAATTTAAAAAACGAAACCAAACCAAAAAAAACCAACTAGACCAAACGCTTCAAGAGCAGCTGCAGTCACTGATTCGATGCGTGGGTATGCCACCACGAGTCAATGTATGGGTCAGATATGCATTCAGTGACCTATAACGATACTTATCGAAGACCAATGCTTGGCGCATCCTTCAGTGATTGACCAACATTTCATTCCTAATGTCGATAAAGTTTTACTAATTCACAAATTTTCCGAAAAGCACCCATTGCTTTACATCGATCACGTCAGAAAAGCGTATTCTTCTTCGGATTACCACATTTAAAAAGCCGACAACTCCTGAACAAAACTACCTATTACGCCCATATGAAGACACCTTGTTAAGTTTATGGATTTCATACAGGGCTATGCTTAAGCAAATCGGTGATGGGAGTAGAGGTATTGGTAAGCAGCAACGAATTTGTGCAAAAAGCCTTGATTACATTCATGGATGAGAGTTGCAGAATAACGAAACGAATTGGATAAACAATGTGGCTAATTCAAGATGTCGAAGCGGGCGAAGCAACTACGTGCTTTGCCAAGATTGGAATGTTGGCTAAGGAAAAATCTTTGCACCAATGGTCAAATTTTGAATTGAATTTGAAGCTCTTTCTTTCGTGATATACCGCCTTGCGTACAATTTCTTCAGCAATATTGCTGACTTATAAGATGCTAGCTTTTGAATTAAAAACAAAGCACCTGAGAATACATATAGTGCTTTATATTTAACAATGTAATTTCAGAGATCACCGTGTTACTCTCAATTTGTTTCTTTCTCAGTATAGTCTCGGAAATGTCGCCTCCAACGTCAGAAGCTGTTCCTCTACTGGGTCAGTTGCAAATTTAAGAGCACAAACCATAGGAAATGTGGTTTCGAAAGCTCTAATCGTTCTTGAACATAGACTGTTCGCTCTGGATTATTTTTAGGATCCTAAAATCATGTAAACTAAATCCTCTCATGCAACCAAGGGTTTAGCATTCAAGGACACTTTCATTTACTTTGCATTTGCTAATAGCACTCTTAAGAGCGTTGTACTTGCCAATACCTTCCACCGAGCACCAATCGTCGAATATTGTGAGATGTTCGATAGCCGCTGTTTTTAATCTGAACAACAGCTGTACTCGTTATTTTTTATTTTCAAAGGAAGTTCAATAGAAATTCAAGCTCCCTCGTGCCCTCATCTGAAGCTGTTAACCTCAAGCATCGCATTTTGAATGGAAATACTGCTAAAGGAATGAATATACTCGCATGGATTTAACCTTAGGTTAGCCACACAGTGGAAAAGCTGTGGGTAGAAACACCGACTTCTCCATACTAGAATGTGTTTTCTATTTTCATTTACACAGTCGAAATCAAAATACCGGTTCCACCTTCTCTGGATATTTATCTTGTATCAAAGATTCCACCACTTTATGGCTCTCATATTCCTGTTAGCTTTCTGTCCTACACATTAAGACTTACCGTACGTAAAATGAGAGGCAAACAGTTCTTATCGTTGTAACATTCACTAATGCGAAGCTTCCCATGCCTCTATATCTATCGTGCTCCATGGGATGGTTAGATGGTATGGTTGGTGAATATAGTCGTGTCACAAAATCTTTTGCTTCTAAGAGGCGTTTTCCTTTTCTAGCAAGCTATAGGTCCACGTTATAGCAGTTCAGAGTTCGCCGGTGTTTTGTTGTCCCAATAATGTGGTAACATGGGATAATAATCTAGTGGGCTTCTAATGGAAAGTCGGCACTCTAACAGCACAATAGTGATAAAGCTTGTCGTTTTCAAATTAGCAATCCTACCTATCGTAAACTCCGAATACCATCCATTTACGGCAAAGGTGAATAACTGATCTGCGTTCGAACCATCCTGGTGAAACCATCGTTTATCTTGGAGATGATTTCGCTGCACCTACATATGTTTTTGCGAACTGCCCTTGTTGAGCTGATGCGAGGTTGGTATAATTGTCGTCGTTGTTGTCATCGTTGCTATGGTTCTACAGCTGATGACTTCGCCTTCCTCAGAGCCTGGATATATTTTAGGTAATAATAGCCCTGAAATTGGGTGAAATACATATAGCATTAATGAAGATCTAACATATAAATGAAGGCCATTCTATTTAAAAACTACTTACGTTACTGTTGCCTGTGAGACTACCCATGTCTTGTTCACGACAAAGGAGACCTGCACTGGTCAGAAAATCAATCCGAAATGTGGTTTTCTGAAATTTGTTTAAAACTCTTTGACAGTAGCGCATTGATCTTTTTGATTCTTGCGCCAGGATCCTGATATTCACTTCAAAATCATCACCGTTATGCTTCTACATCCTATGGCACCTAGAGGAGCATTTGAGCGAACTCTAAACTTTCCATCATCTAGATGTTCTTTTATGCGGACACAAACTCGTCTACCCGTTTCCCCAATGTATTCTTCACCGCATGCCTTATACGAGATCAAGTATAATGCCTGAACTCATGCAGTCTTTTCCGTTAGGAGAGGCCACACAATTTTCTGAGCTCCATAAACGATCCTAAACGCGGTTGCGGACTAATTAGTGGTGTAGGGAAATACATCGGCTGGGAGATCAATAGGTACACATGAGGCACCAAAGCACAGTGGCGATGATTTTGATGTGATTGTGCGGATCTTAGCGCAGGAACAAAAAGCATCAACGCGCAAGACTCTTGAGGCGTTTTGGTCAAATTTCAATAGTCCAAAGATGAGCCGAAAAGTCGAATCATTAACTATCACACGTGACCTGGCGCCTTATTTCAAAGTGTTATTTGAACTGGGTGAGTCCCACTCATTATCCCATATGAACAACGCGCGGGTGGTTCAACAACTCGGTGAGTAGTTTTTTTTTTTAAACAAAATGACGTTCATCTATATGTTAGATCTTCATTAGTACTACAGATGTTTCACTGAATTACACGTTTTGCACATAATACGTTCAAGGTCTGAATAAGGCGAAGTCTTCAAAACATTAGCCATCGAACAGCAACAACAACAACACCAACAACTGATACCAGCCACCTGTCAGCTCATCAGGGGCAATTCGTAACAGTATATGGGTATATCAAACATTTATGACGAAGGTTATAAAAAGTCGGTCTTTCGGATTAATAAGAGCTTGCCACAAATTGCTTAGTACTATGAATATTGTTGATTTAAAGGTCATGGAAACCTAAATGCAACGATTTTCTTTAAATGACTCGTTATCACATCCACTCTGTGGGTCCCAGCACTTCGTGTATTCGATTCATTTTTCTAGCATTCATCATCTACAGGGTCTTCGAATACTTCGCGTGGAACTTCGGCTGCTGCTTGAAGATGGAGTTCATCTTCTTTACGAATGTCGTAGAATTCTAGTTATGTCGATATTCTTTTTGCAATCTCAGGGTAGCCGGGCTAGGGCATTTTCACTTGGATTATAGGGAAGTGCTGGAGAGTGGTGGAATTAGTACCTTCGCTTCCTGACCGATGAAATCACTAAGCACTGCACTCCGTTTTCGTAACTAACACTACATAATGTAGCTTTAATTTACTGCCTATTCTTTTTCCATGGCAGCGTACTATTTGAGGTCCTAGGAGCTCACCTGCCTCCTTATTTGGTGGGTGATTGCTGATGGCACTATTGGAGTACAAACATGACTGAGAGAAAGGTAAAGCAAGAGCCTCGGTTGTTGTGATGCGCGTCAGCACCGGAAAGGGCCATCTTAGATTCGTAGCCTCCCCTACCCCTGAGACTCCGAGTTTTGCTCATTTCTCAGCATCGTCGTGGTTGTATAGCACCACATACTTTTCCTTTCTAAATGTTTCCTGTTTCTGTAATAATTTTGCTCCAATGGTAGCTTATACGCACTGTGTGAAACTTCGCACAATGTATTTAACTCAATGCAGCCGAAGAGAAAACATAGTTAATATGTTCCGGGCTTTGCATCCACTAGATCATCAGTTCTATTAAAGATGGAGAGTCGATCGAATATATTCTGTTCTTCGCTGATTTATGAGCTTTGAACAGAGAGGGCATCACTCAAAGTGAGGACTTTAAAGGCTTTTTATTTTAGCTTTTAGCTTTTTATGCATAAAAATGCCTCGTTCATAGGTTATTTCCATTTTCAGGTATTTTCTTCACTTGCTGCATGATCGTGGTCACTGCGTCTACCGTATTCACGGTCTACGTGCTTAATCTTCACTACAGAACTCCGGAGACGCACGAAATGAGCTCACTGGTATTTTAAACAAAATTTTCTCCATTTTATTGCAAAGACTACATCGAAACAAATAGGAATGAAGACGTCCCTTATGATGGAAATCGTCAGGCAAAGTTCTTTTACGATGGATCGGTTTTTACTGCAGTATCGATACTTGATTGCTGACATTATATTTTGGCAATCCTTAGCTATCTTTCGCAGGCTATTTTTGTTTCGCATTTATCTCCTATTCATCCCTGTTTTCACCAATCTTTATTAATTCTTGTCAGAATTGCGCTGTTGTAAACAATCTATCTGAAAAGTAGGCTTAGATGATTGGATGGCTTCTCCTCACAAATTACCAAAGCTCATGGGGATCACGTTCCTCAGTGACTCCCATATCTGCATGAAAATTTTCTGGTTCATCAAGATTTTCGAGTGTTAAAAGCTGTACCAAGGCTTTTCCAGGTCGTAATGAGTTGCCAACTAGTGACTTTCTTATTGTCAAAATGTTAGTGATAGCTGACACTGGTTTACTCTTTGCTCGGCTTTCGAAACACTGAAGTACTTCTGCTTGAGAGACTATGACGGTGATCTAACTTCACTGGGCATCGTAGTCCCATACATAAAAACACATCAGAAGCAATAAGACTCTAAACCATTGAGAATCAGTGGTCGAAAGCGCTTTTAAAAAAGAAACACGATCCAAGATTGTATCTACCTCACTCCTTTGACTTATGTTACGATTCAGATGCGGGCTGTTGTGTTATATTGGCTACCATGGCTGTTGCGAATGAAACGACCGGGAGTAAAACTTACATATGCAACTCTCCCATCACTGGTTGCATTTAAGCTTAAAAGTCAGTCTGAGTCACTTATTAGAAATATCAAGGAGAATGAGTCTAGCGCTTCCAGGTGAGCCATATTTTTTCATTCATTCACACAAAACACTATGTATATATATATATAATGTGGAAACGTATAGGGCGCATGTAGCGTAGTGGTTAGAGACGCCCTGCAATACATATGGGGTCGATCCTGCGCCCCAGAGTCACCAAACCCTCCATCACTCCGGTATCAACAAATTGATGACAGACTTGTCTGGGAGTATAACGGCACTGATTGAATACATCGGTGCCACCAGTAATCATTGCATAGGACAAAAGGATAAAGATCTCGGTGTTGTTCAATCCCTGAGGAATGCGCCATGCATTCGACTTTATTAACCATCGTTTAGAAGTGATTGAATGCATATCTGGCCTTCACAATGACTCGCAGAGACCTACCGATGTATCGAGCCAGTGCTGCTATCTCTCCAGACAAGTCTGTTAGCAATTTACCGACGCAGGGGTTGGGAGACTTGGTGGGTCTTAGGAGCGGAGATCATTCCCGTGTGTATTGCAGCGCGCCTCCGACCATTGCGCTACACGCACTCGAAAACTTTGAAATTACTAGAGGAATGAAAAGTAATATACCTACGACATACATATATTTGTGATATATATTATATATGTATGTGTTTCATACACATTTAAGATATGTATTTTGAACAACCAAGTGTCTAGGATTTAATAAAGTAAGCTTCAACTGCCCCATCTTATCACATAAAATGAGCTCTTATGTTACTTGCAAGCTATTTAATCATCGAAGGACCTGTAACGTCTGCCTCCTTCGCGACGTGACTTGCGAAAGTGTCCATTTCTGTCATATGTGAAGGCCGCATAGTGAACTCAGCTTAAACAAGAAGCTCAAGCAACACCAAACTTTTCTTCCGCTCAACTCGCCGAATAAACAAAGGGTTCATTCAAATCCAGCGTAAAAAGAGAGAGACCTCAACGTCTCTGATATGAAGAAGTTACTGTTAATGTCCTAAACACTCAGGAGAGGACTATCTCGCATTTAAACCAAATGTCAAAAATATTCTGACTTTTGTGGTATTGGCAAGCATTTAGATCTAATTCACTCGATGTGGAGCGACGGCTTCATCGTTACATGACCTGTTCGGGAACACTGAATGAAGTTTCACCACCGCTGAAGGCAATGACGAATTCACAGGTGACGTGGTTAGTCTGATTAGCATAACTGATGTGAAATTGATGGACACATCATCCTTCATCCACAAACGAGGTCTTTACGTTGTCAGTCTCTCACAAATGCAACATATAATAAGTAGCAATTTTGCCAAAACGAACGTGGAAGAAATATTCTGTAAATTCTCTCTCAAAAAATGTGGCTTACATTTCTATGCTCTCACCAACTCCAAGTCATGGGTTGAATCCTTTATGCCTGTCTGGCCACGGCGCTGCACGTAGCAAACTATGAAAGTTCATGAAAGAAAGTTAATGTGACCACCATCGCAAACGCTTAATCCGCAAGAGTTCGACAAACTGAACGTGGGTTTCTCTAGCACCAACAGCCGAACTTAGTGAGCTGACTGAAGATTCTTTCTTCCCAAAGTAATGAAAACAATTTCCCTATACGAAAAGAACAGTGAATTCATGTACCTTCAACAATCATGAGGCATTGCATAACTCTGGCTTGCAAAATATACGAACTGTTTTAATCCACATCCAAATCGGTCGAAATTTAACAAAATTGTACTTATGCCAAGATAACTGATAATTTCCTCATGTAGTGCGAGTCACAACACTTCTTCCGTTCGTTTAGAATCCAAAACCACTGTCCACAGTAGTAATGATTGTGTCCTCGCGTGGTTTCGCCGGAGATTTGAGGAATTGAAAATTTATTTTTGTGAGTCCGACGAACATATTGGGCCAACTTCTTGGTAGTTTCTGGTGAGGTCGTTGTAATTTTCTCGAGATTCATTTTACTGTTCTTTTCGTCCACTTATCGTCTTTTCTCCTCATTCTGTTAGTAGCCCATCAATATTTATTCTTTGAGACCCATTCTCATGGATGTCGAAGATGGGACGTTGTCGAAGATGTGAACTATGAAAACCGGCTTAGTATTGTGTGTGTGTGTGTCAGATTGCTCGAGCACCCTTCAAATAAATAAGCACGTAGGTCGGGTTCGGTACGCTAATGAGTAGACTCTGTCAGTGGCTTAAACGTGAGCTATGCTGCTCTTTGTCTTTTGCCGAATTGTTTTCTCAATCCACTTTCCTATTCATTGAATGTTCCAGATATACGTAGGATGTCGTACCATAAAATGCTGGTCCATGAAAGATAATCTGTGCTCTTTTCCACTAGATGATTTCTATGAATTGGAGTTTTTCCCGATTAATTCGAAACGCAATTTTTTTCCTGCATTGTTGAGCTCAACAAGCATTGTCTCTGTTTCTGCAGTACTTCTCCAAAAGAGGACAACGTCGACGGTATAACTAAGATTGAGAACAATTCGTCCATCAAAACGTGCTCCTTTATTGTACCAGTCGAGTGAATTTATTGTGATTGTAGCCACTGTGGCGTCTTGATGAATAACGTTGACGATATCACGTTTTTTTTCGTGTTTCATTTCTACTTGGTCAGCTAAGGCCGACAGTATTTTATTGGTTTTCACAGTGTCGAATGGCTACTCATAGCCAAAAATGCTAGAACTAGGGGTAAATCGTATTGCCAGCGGAGAGCTAAGACTCTCGAAAGTGTTTGGATTTGATCTTCCTTACGAAATCCAGCTTATTCTATAGATTAGACTCCATATAACTTCATCGAGGTAAGCGCTAGGATAATTTTCGCCACGAGCTCTTAGAACACGCTCCATAGGCTTGTCGGATGGCAGTTACGAAAGTCATCCACGTTGTCCACTGTTTTCTTGATGAGCAAACATGAGGTTGTTGCTCTACTCTTTGTTGACAATTAAGCTGACGTTCTGGTTGTCATTGCCTTCTTTAGAGCCTGGAAAGGTCGAGTTGACTGTTTTTTTTTGCGGACTGGCTGTTCTTTCCTAGCCTTGCATTGAAATATCCCCCAACAAATTCTAGGACTTCTCGTTACAGACTAGTCCATTGAGATAATCATTAAAAGTATCAAGTCCCTGATCATCAATTATCGACGGTGGTGAATGGGAGTTTATAATACTGACTTTTTGTGTTAAGAAGGGCACATGATTGCAGTTTGTGATGCGGTCCGCGGCATCTAGAAGAACGTTAAGTTCATGTTTTGAGGAAACTGTGCAGTCTGCATGGCGTATCGTCGGTGTATCATTGCTTTTCATTTATCTTCTTAATATCCACGCTTCCCTTCTTTGGTATGCTTAATGCCGGACGAGCGTAATTTTATCTGAAGTCCTGCGATCCCCACATTGTTGTGCAAAAGGCATTCTCAACGAAAACGAAAATTATCGACGGTACAAATAATGCTACAGG